ACAATGCCTTTGTACTACACCGCATTGTTTTAAAGGCAAGAGTGCTGTAACATTCAGGAAACTGGTTACAAATCAGCTGTTAGACCTATTGTGATTAGTTGTTGTGATCTTTTCTTTATGTGTTTTGTATTATCATTATTATTAGTTCTTACCTGGTCCCTTTTTGGTAAATCAACACGTGGATTTATCAAATGGATATGTTATTTTTTTCTCTTTTTATTATCTCACGCAGATGAATATCAAAGCGACGTATTTATTTTTAGGTTGATATGTATCTAATTTTGCTATACGTAATTATTTCCTCACACAATAGGGTTGGGTATAAATCCGCGTATAGACCTAGATTCCAACGCAAGCCAAGGCTTTTGTGGTTACAGATTTTGAGGTGTTCGAATCGGTGCGTACGGCGCGAGCCAACATGAACCAACGGTTTCGAAAGTAGCGTTCGCTCCTCGATCGGTACATGAAAGGGAGGTTTGATTTGGTCTAGGCAGGATTGGTTGCGTTTCTAGTATTTAGTCGTTTGTCTGCCTTCGATGAGAGGAAACTCAATGCTCAACATTAGCACCGAACTTAACCCAACGCGTTCCAACTCGAAACTAAATTTAGGAGTAGACGAGCGCAGTCCAATACCTTCCAACAACGAACGCTAACGTCACATGTGCTTGCATTCGTTTGCTCGACGTTAGATTTTTTGTCCGTACGTGGCTTAAGAGTAGCCAACTCGCCTTATTGTTGTGATTCTAATGTAGACATTTTATTATTATTATTATTATATTAGCTTTACTCAATAATGTTAACCCGACAAAGCTTATAAAAATTCCAGTAAGAGGATACACATTCTGCATATATATTTCAAGGAGTAGACATATCTGGTGAACCAAAGAGTTAGACTAAGTAGAAGGAGCAATCCTAAAATTTTTTTGTGTCGAAAATTTCAGTCTGTAGTGAACTTGACATATGTTAACTGTTTGATACTTCTGTCATTAGATTCGTTCTTTAGTGTTATTTTTTGAAAGTGCGAGTGTTTATAGATGATTATGGAGTTTAGGATATGATTCTTCTTGCATAATTTGCAAAGAGCAGCACAAGCCTGATGATGAATGTATATCCTTCCACCGGTATGTTTTTGAGGTGAGCCAAAACTACGGACTGAAACTACACAACTTTGGCAACGAAAAAAGTAATGTAAACATACAGTCTAGTCTAATCTATTCGAATTCGTTGGGTAAATCTAGCACTATTCGATGGCTATAATAATAACAGCTATAATTTAGGTTGAATTTCGTCAATGCAATGTGTCATGAATACTGAATAACTTTTTCAATCCAAGGACTGAAGCTAATAGTGTCCACTAACGAGTCTTAGTACTGACTAGGATCCGACCGAAGGTCTGGTTTTTGAAGAAAGCGGAAGATAAGGTTCGTCTTTTAACACAACCCTAGGCCGAAACCGAACATTCAGTTAATCAGTAATATCGGTTGGGTTATAAGGGTAGAGTGGTAGAAGAATGATCTTGGGTTCTGTTTTTTGTAAGTTATAACTACACTTTTAATGTATTTTTTTGATAATACAAAAAACTTAATGATAATTTGATGAGTAGAAAAATAAAATTGATGTAAAACTTCAAGTAATAATAGTCATCTTGGAAGTGGGAAAAGACTGGAAGTCAGTTAAATTAGAGAAACGTTTTACAATACCATATGCATATATCGAAAAAAGAAATTTGAAAAAATTGTCGGTGTTTTCGGAAATATTCCGATTATTCCTGAAATCTTTATTCTTTTCTGGTGCACGTGCTGTACCGGTAATAATACTTATTGGATTTGTTGAAGAAGGCACAAAATAAAAAGATTCGGTCTGAAATAGGAATACAAAGGCAACTACACATTCACATACTTATAAAATACCCGATTCCCTGAACGTGTACAAAAGTATAACGTCCAATAAAGTTAATTTTTAAAACAAACGCCATTTGAAATATTTTATTTTTTGGCAATGGAATAAGTTGAGTAGACAAAGTTGATTTCAACGATAGCTATGAAGAGAATTTTTGATGGAATATAACAGGTTTTCAAAGCCATAAAATAGTAGCATACCAACCATATGTCAAATGGCCCTTTTATCTTCGGATGTTTTATCTGTAGGACTAGTTGTATCAACTGTAATGTTTATTTTTGAAATAAACGTTTCTTTTCGGTTTGAAGTTTCTTTATCTATATAATAATGAATAGGCCGACAAAACCAGTGGCGTGAAGAGGGAACGTTTAAGGAATGAAGCCTTTTTCCTACTGTTATAATGAGGAGCCATGGCTTTATTTATATGCCATACAGGATTTTACCTCAAATATTCAAACTTAAATATCTCCAAAATGAGTGATCAGGCCAAGATTCCTTCAGAGACAAAATTTATGAAAACTTAAATTTTATTTTATAGCATGCACTGTTCTCAAAAAAGGCCAGTGGCGTAGAAATATTTCCTACTAGGGGTCCAGTACCCCAGTTTCTATCCCTGGTTTAGTTCGAGCTGGGAAAATCTGAGTGTTTATTGATCGTCTAAAATATGAACTCAGAATCTTGATCGGTTTCTTAGATATATTTTTTTTCGTTTTCGTAAATAAAATTTCATCTCCCTGTATTTCGGTATGGGAGCATCTTAGTACCCATACTTAAAGGAAACATTTATTGTTATTATTGGACGTACTTCTCCGCCTCAAAAACTTTGTCGTTACGTATGAGTGCCCTTCAATCATATTTGTCAGAGTGACAACTTACGAGGCTTGTCCGTAAAATAAGTTCCACGGGCTGCCGCTGGCGCTAGGATCGTTTCTATGCACAGCCAGGCAACAGAGGCAGATTGCTTGGTTCCCCCACTCCAATCCCTCACCAAGCCAGCGTCGCTGCGACGTTTAGTCTTGGCTCAGCAGCCGTCAGCGATGGAGCTTCCTCTTGCGTCTCCCGCCAGCTGCGAGTTGCGGTCTGTTATTCGTTTCCTGGCCGCTAAGAAGAAATCGGCGAAGGAAATTCACGAAGAACTTTGACAAGTGTATGGAGAAGACTGTATGAGCTGCGGGATGGTGCGCAGATGGGTCAGGGACTTTAAAAATGGCCGAACAGACGTCCACGACGAAGCCCGTGCAGGGCGGCCATCGGTTTCCGACGAAACAATTGCCAAAGTCGAAGCGGCAATGCTTGAAGATCGACGGATTACAGTTCGGGAGCTGTGCACAAAGATTCCGGAGGTCAGCAAAACCACAATTGACAAGATTTTGACTGAACATTTAGGCTATTCAAAGGTCTGCGCAAGATGGGTACCAAGAATGCTCACTGCAGACCACCGGCGGCAGCGGGTTAAAGCGGCCCAAGAATTTCTCGCTTTTCACGGAACAACCGAAGAGGAATTTCTGGACTCTATTGTTACTGGTGACGAGACCTGGGTACACTACACCACACCGGAAACAAAGGAGCAATCGAAGCAGTGGAAGTACTCTTCTTCACCAAGAGCAAAGAAGTTCAAACAAATCCTGTCTGCCGGGAAAATCATGGCTAGAGTTTTTTGGGATCGAAAGGGCGTATTGTTGTGCGAGTTTATGCCTCGCGGGACAACAATCAATGCTGACCGGTACTGTGAGACCTTGAAAAAACTTAGACGTGCCATTCAGAACAAGAGAAGAGGAATGCTGACGAAAGGAGTGCGTTTTCACCATGACAATGCCCGACCGCACACCGCCAATCGAACCACAGCCCTCATCGAAAGATTTGGATGGAAAATGGTGTCTCACCCACCCTACAGCCCAGACTTAGCACCAAGTGACTTCCATCTCTTCCCTGAGTTGAAGAAAAACCTTGGCGGAACCCAATTCTAGACAGATGAAGAGGTGCAAAACGCAGTTGTTAGTTTTCTACACGGACAGGCGGCAGAGTTCTATGACTCTGGTTTGAAGAAGTGGGTGCCTCGAAAAAATTTGTGGAACTTATTTTACGGACACGCCTCGTACATGAACATCGGCGTGCAATTTGGGTTATCCTGTTATCAATCTTCAATAAATAATTGTACAATGCCCGTAAATACGATCTATAGGCCGACAGCTCATGCTAAATTTATTATTAGTTTTTCCAGGAAGAGAATGAAAACAGTGGTCCCCTGTTATCCACTTACTGAAGAGAGTAGCAGATGCACTGAAGATTAGTCTGTGCAGCGTCCATGTTGATGGTACGGAGACTCGATCTGTTTACTTATTTCATATGGCTTTGATGACGTAATCGCCAAGAAAGGTGACTACAACTATGTCACAACACGTAAATCAAAGAATGTCGCTGTAAATCAACTCGCCTCTGTAACAGATGCCCTGAATCGTAAGTGTAGAACCATCTGTAGCTGAATTTAGTTATCCACTGACTAGAGTCCTCAATCATCGATGAGGAACGTAATATGTCACCTATCTTGAATTAGAGGAATGTTGCTAATGCTAATGGATAATACGGTGATATAATTATGAATGTACCTGCTCTCTACTGTCAGCTTACCTACTGAAGAATTTACGCTATTCTTGGCTAACGCTTCGTACGCCTGAACCTCTGCGACCGCATGATACTATCATGGTTTTTTGAGTTGCAAGCTAGTAGGCGGAAATTATGTCACATTCTTTATTTAATGATATGTTCGTTCAATAAGATGAAATGGTAGAAATGTGACTAAACATTGCTATCAGCTGCTTGTGTCTACGATTGCAAGCATTGACCGTTAAATCTTTTTCCTTAATCGACTTCTGGGAAATTATGGGAATCTCTTTTTGGCAAAACAAACAGAAAGCTGGCACTGCCTTCGCAATCCCTAGAGTAATAACAACCCATAAACATCATGTCAGCCATGGATTAACGTAATGTGAATGAATCAATTAACAGATGGAGACGTACTTCAACGTTGTCGCCACACCTTCAGGCACTCATCAGCATTACGAGTATAAATGCTGTCACTCAGTCTATATATCTTTTTCCAGATGCTAGCGGGTGCTGCCTTGCTGATTAGCTTACTAAGCACCATCTTGTGCTCAGTTTCGGTAGCTGCAATCTCCTCCGATGACGGCTCGTACGAGTTATCGAACGGAAACTGCACGGCCCCGGAACCGCGTGACTTGGTGCACATGGAACACGTACAGAAGGTAGCGATACCTTTTGTGACGAGAGAAGAAAGGGTGAGCGAACGAACCATTATAGTCTGGTTTCTAAGTATATCGGAACTCTTGAGCTTGAATTTTACGGTAGTTGATGACACTTGATATCGATTGCACATCGTAACGCATGATATTGTCTTGAATATTGACCAGAGCGACAGTCGGAATTACCATTTCTTGAGCAGTGAGATTTTTGGAAAACTAGGCGGCGCTGCGCGCACCCTCTCAATAGATAGTTTTTAGTGCAACACAAATATCGAATCGTTATGCCGCCTGTTAAGTTTGGACAGTGACATCAAATCACGAAAAGCAGAGAAAGAAGAGTTTTATTACTACTAAAGTGAACTATGGTAATTTAACAGTACTGACTACTGACAATCATGACAGGTTACTTATTTTTTTTTTATTCTGATTAACCCCAAAATATCAAAGCCTTGTGAAAGTTTTCATGGAAAATCTTTGGTAATATGTATGATATTATTTCTTCTAACCGGTCACAAGTGACCACAAAACCAGCAGAACTTGGAAAGCTGTTCACTTTATTATTTATTATTCTAATTTTTATCTGTGATCTAAAATTAATATTTCTATCATATTTTAATCAATATATTTTGATAACATGAAATTATCTGAAATAAGCTTTCGCAGCTTTACGGATTCCAGCACTGTAATAGGAAAAAATAATCTTAAGGAATAAGCCCTCCCCTATTCTCGGTAACAACGGAGCTTTCTTATTTCTCTAACGGAAAACGAAGGATTGTCTTGCGACTAAGCGAAATCAAAATAACGAATATAACAACGAGTCAGCAAAACAACAGCATTAAAAACTTTGTAGTAACGTACGATCCCCTTCCCACTTCAGTTGGCCCACTTCAAGATGTGTACCAAAATATGCCTTTATAAACTAAACATGACGAAACTATTTACTTCTAAAACAATTTATTTTCTCAAAAACATTTTAGATACACTCTAGTGGTAAAAAATACATATTTGAAATCACTTAGACCTATAACTAATAGAACATCTGAACAAATAAACAATGTGCGAATATATGCGTGAAGTTAACAAAGCAACAATTGAAAGATTACCATTGGGTAACATCACCTTTATTTTTTATTACGGCAGAAATTCTTTGGAGCATAGTGTTAACCAAGTTTTGGCAAAAATTTGGTGTAAAACAATCCCATATTTCTTGAAGCTTTTGTCTCAGTTCGGTAATTGTTCGAGCAGGATGTTGTCGTAGAACCTTTTTCATCTCGTGTCACAAAGTTTCAATAGGTGACAGATCTGGACTTTTAGAAACCCATTTCAAAAGTGGTACATTATTTTCTTCCATCCATTTTATAGCCTTTATTGAGGTATGGCACGCTGCACCATCTTGCTGAAACACATAATCTTGGCCGGATGTCAAACATTCTTCCATCACTGGTAAAAGCGATTCTTCTAAAATTGCCAAATATTTGTTTGTATCCACATTTCCATCAATAAAATGAAGTTTTGCTACTCCTTTTGATGACAGACTGCCCCAGACCATAATGGATGCTGGAAATTTCACTTTTCTCTTCAGACAGTCAACATGGAATGCTTCATTTTTTTTGCGAGTAACTCTACTGCGACTGTCACCAACACAAACTTCGAATTGGGCCTCATCATTCCATTGTATTGCACACCATTGTTGAGGTGTCCATTGTCTATCTTCTTTAGCCCATCTAAGCCGATTTTTTTTTGCAGTGGAGTTAATAGTGGCTTTTCTTTGGCCTATAAATAAGTTGTGCAACTTTAGGGTTTTTACTTTTTTATAAGAAAACTTACCTTGCAAGTGCTAAATCCCAGTTTGTGGGCCTCTCTATGAGTTGTGGACCTCGAAATTCTCCTTCCACCAGCGTCACTCCACAGAGCACTTAATTGTAAATACTTGGCACGCCTGTTTTTCACGATTATTCTTCTTAATGCTGTTCGGTCGGCATTTGTGATATTCCTTTTTTTCACATTTCGTGCCTTAAAATTAACTGAACCAGTTACGTTATATCTTCTAACAATATTTCTCACACTGTACCGCGATAAGTCTAACAAAGTTGCAATTTCTGAGTTTGATTTCCCAGAATTAAAAAATTTAATCATCAGTAACCGAATTTTCTCACTAATAACCTTTCCTTTACCAATTTTGAAAACCTTAACTACCCAAAACTATTTTAAACGTATTCGGGCAGCTGTGATTAATAAAAATAATTGTCATGGTTTTATTTTTCACAGCCACCTATGCGTTATAGACTTATTTTGCATTGAAATGAAAATAGGTTGATATGCTGTAATTGCAACAGGTGTTATTTTTATGCTGCAAATTTGATTAGGGAGTGATAAAGTTGGTGTTTTCTACTATATATTATCAAAATATTCATTGTTAATATTTTAAACCTATAACACCCCGCTACATTCTTATTATTTGTGTTTGATAAGAAAAAATTAAGATTTCAATAGTTGGGCCAACTGAAGTGGGATGGGGCTCGTATTACGCCTTAACCAAAATTTTGAAAATATCCTATTATTATTATTAGTGGAATGCTCCATAACAAATTGTTGGTCTCAAATTCAAGACGCCACGTGGTGACCATAGAAAGCAGCTAAGTAATTTATACCATCAGGGGGACTAGATAGCATACGTAGATTGACGGACCATGATTTCTGGTGCATCCCGTATAACAAGTATATTTCTGCAGCATGCCATGATTTTCATAATTCAATGACACACATACTCTCATAGATAACCCACCTAAAACAACAATAACTAAAATTAGAGCTTTACAAAAATTACCAATATTACCCTGGATTTATTCAAAATGATATTATCAGTAATTACCATGAAATGTTTTCTTGATATGTTAAGATTAAGTATCACCCTTTTACTTCCCACGCCACTGGCGAGCAAGTATTATAATCGAAAAGAATTTCAAAAATGAGATATGTTTTCTAGATGAAAATGAAAATCCTCATTTTGGACGTTTCAGAGGCTCCTGATAACTGTCAGAAAAAATTTAATACGGAATGTAAAATTACATACCAGTCAACCGGTGTGTTGTGATAACACTTCCGGGTGGGATTTCGTGTCCCCGAAGTCGCTTGATGTTTAAGGGACAATAAGCGAGGGTGACGGGTACAAAAACAACAAATAACTTTATGTTCAGTGGCCGCTTTAGAGAGAATGGACGTCTTCTGAGAGCAGGAATGACTACTCCAGACGATCTTGGATGATATGGACTTTGCTGGGCCAGCGCGGTTCGATTTTAATGTTGTAAGGAGGGCTTTGCTCGATCTTTGCGTGATACATGACTGTTCGTGGTCGAGGTGGCCGAAACGTTAGTAAATCTTCAACTATACAACTGTAGTTTTATTTGATGGCCAGTGGAATATGGAAGCTCCGAATGGTACTTTCCAGATTATAGAGGATCAAGACAGATAGGCAGGCCAACAGACAGGCCGACAAACAGACCAACAAGCAGGCCGACAGACAAAAAGACTAACGGACATGAATGGCATGGTTTTTCGTGGTGTACATGACAAAACAAGGTTAGTCGGTAGATATGCGACCTCAGGGTGAGGTTCTTTGTACCTTGGTTTTTGGATGCAAAGCGGTTGCGGTTTGGGCGTGACCTAGTTTCAAAAACTAGGAAAGGAAATAACTAGTAACAAGGTTGGGTCTCTGGAGCTAAGGAGACACAAACTCATAAAGCATACAGACATTTATGGAACAAAAACAATTTTTTTTTACATTACTTTCCTAGCTAAATGGTTTCCGGTAAATATTAAAATAAAAAGAAAGACTACCTATACAGGTGCTGGACTATGAACGGTAGGCAATCGAGATCAGGAAGTCCCAGATGTAACCTGAAGGCAGAACCGGAAGGTACAATGAGGGCTCACAAAAATGGGAAACTGCTCCTCACAGGCGTGAGTCCCACTAAAATTCGGCTCGGTCCATCCCTACAGACGGTTTACCCCAGCTCGATGGCTGAGGGTAGTCATGCCAACGGCTAGATCCGCAAGAGGCTGAGGAAAAAGGCTATCCTAAATAAGAAAAACGTTGTAATAATTTACTTGATCAAGATGTAGTTAATTTTTAGTCGACCATAAAAAGTAAATGTAACACCTGGTACAATACTTCCTCGCCAATTTGTGTGAAAAGCTCGATAACGTGCGCATTATACAGGGTGACTTCGAAGTTGAGTCATTTATTTTAACAGTGAGTAGATCTGATCAAAAGAAATGTTTTTTCCTTTACCATTTTTCTGGTAAAATTAAAGTAACAAAGTTATAGCCCTTTGGAAGTTTGAGTACCGCCCTGTTCAATAATACTCGTAATATCATGTGCTCGTGTTTGGCAACAACGGATATAATCCGCCTCGGTTCATCGTATCGGAAACAAAAAAGCGAAAGAATTTGGAACGATGTTTTACAATTATTTTCTTCAGTTCAGTTATACATACAGACTGTGTCAGTCGGTAAGGCGTGTGAATAGTGTCTGTTGCGTGGCTCAAACGAAATAAAAAATGGCACATGTTTATGCGGATCGGTTTCCCAATCGAGTGCAACCAACCCCTCGTGCCTTTGTTAATGTAGTACAACGGGCTCGTGAATCAAGTGACTTAAGACCTCACAGGGGACCTCACGATCAAATACAGGTCCGCACTGAAATACTTGTCGGGAGGATACTTTATAAAACAAGGTAAAAATTTTTTTTTATTTTTTTTTTATTTTTACACACATATTTTGGTTTATCTTCCTTCTACAATCATTATCTGAAAATTAATGACTCAACTTCAAAGTCACCCTGTATAATATACACGTATAACCTCATTCGATGGATGTAGTCTTCTACTACAATACTTGTTTTTCTAAGTTCGCTTAAATGCTTTGTGCTTCTGTTAGGTAACATGGTACGGCGACGAGAAAATATACTGTGTTCTGGTAACCAGTTGTAACGGGGAAACTCACTCTAAGGTTAAGCTATTGAGAGGAGGTGCTGGACATACATTCGTGGACCTGGAGGTACATTCTAGCCGAGGGTATGGATTCGCTTACAACGTTAGAATATTTGGAAAGGAGTAGTTCATTGGGTTAATGACCCATGTTTCAAACCGCATATGTTCAAGAAGATTCTTCTTTATTGTACGTCGTTCCGGTCCCAACGATAACTTTTCCAAGTACAACTGACTTAAGCTACTGGGATTAAAATATCGTAAAATAAAGAAGAACTTGAAATATATAGGTGGTTTTAAGTGTTTATAGTGAATAAAATAAAAGTGCATCATCAATTTACATAGTAAAATAAAAGAATCAAATAGAGAACTTCGTGTTATTTATCAGGAAAGTTGAATTCTTATTATGATTTGTTTCATCTTTTTTTTCAAACTCAAATGCCAGGATACCGCGGATACTGTGAGGATCCTAAATAAACTTTGTTAAGCAAATATCTAAAAATGTAATACAGGGTGTTCTATGTAAAGTAACGAAGTTGTGTTACGCCTAATCTTTTAAAAGGCTATTTTTATAACTGCTATCCTCCGCATACGCGTAAGTGGCCCACGCTATATAAGCTTTGCATCTCAGTGTTATTTTAGATATGAAGTAGGAAGTGCCGCGACCAAGCGTTCATATAAAAATGGTAAAGTTAATGTTGTATAAATAAGTGAATTTCAGACAAAAGGCCTTTAAGATACTAAAACAAAAAGAAAAATCATCAAGAATACATATGCGATGAAATATTTAGCTACAAAAATGTAGGTGCAGGCCAAAGAACTGGATTATGGACCCTTACTCTTCCACGTTTGAACCTTGAGCGGCGAGTAGTGAGAAAAAATAAATATACAAATATTCACATTACAAATCGCAACAAATATTGCGATAGACTAATCAGTTACTCAAACCCTCTTGTGCCCAACTTCATGAAGGAAGCTGGATAAGTAGGACAAGTTACTTCAATTTACAGCGCATCACTATTTCTAGGTAACTCTTTAATGACCATTGCTGGATTCATTTCTTCCAAGTCTTCACACACAACACTAAATTTCTACTAGAGAAATTGTAGTAAGTTATTGCAACTAAAAATGTATACGTTTTTACCTTCATAGAATAACTTTATTTACTGTCGATAAAATATATAAAACAAACTTAATTTTTTGTTATATAAGATAGTCGTATATATCTTTGATAATAGGATCATTTTTAACACATTAATAACATCCAGTCATTTACCATAATATGGATCAGTTTAGATTACAAAAAAGTTTCGCAACAAGTTGCGCTGCATTGACAAGCACATCCATCAAAAGTTTGTTGGGTACTACGGTCTGCAGCATGGTGGTATTTTAGTTGAATCTGAAATCCGAATTGGGAGTTGATGGACAAGTAACTTCGACATAAGATGAACATGATTGTAGAATTAGGTGGAAGTGTATCTGATACACAATGCACATTCATCATTTATGCTTTATTCTGAAATAGCCCCGAATGCAAACAGAAACAAACAAGAAAGGAAAACATTTAATCCAATACTTTGTTTAACCCAATACATCGATGATTCAAATGCAGAATTCTTTAGAAGAAAAGACGTCCACCAAAAAGGCATCTAGTTTTATTTCTGTTTCTTACCACGCACAACGCTCTGCCGCAATATTGATCAAACTTGAACTTAATGTCGTAAAAAATCGTTCCAATAGTTTTCCTAGGCTTTCATCTTATATATACATACTTCTGAAGATTAATACAGGGTGTTAGGGATGTAATATTCTTAACTGTAAGAGGTGATTCCTTGCATTATTCTAAGCAAAACAGTTCATGTTCGCAACTATGTTCGCAAATCAAGCGTTTCGGAGCAAAAAAATGCTGAACTTATTTGTTTCTAGTCATGAAATAAATCAATTTTGCACCTTAATAATTTAAATTCATATGCCTAATAACGTAAAATGTATCAATACATCTATTTATGAATCAACCGTCTCGAACAGAATAATTTTGCATGCTTATTAAATACAATTTTCAGAAGAAAGGCAGACAAACAAAATCCCTCACACAACTGGCAACATCGTACTCCGCCTGCACTGCATGTATCATCGCGTGTTCTTGTGATTACTAATACATTTAACTGTAACTATATGTGATTTACAGATGTTCTTTTTTTTTCTTTTTTCGTGGTTCGCATGGTTTCAAATAAGTGACTGATAATCGTGGGAATTGGTAGTGTGTATCGCCACTTACCGGGAAGTTTTGTCATTCTTTTTTTTATGTAAATGTGCTATACTGAAAGCGTTATTAAATAAAAAATATTAGCCACAAAGAAATTGCGTAAAAGTATTCAATAATTCAAGGCATATTTTCAAAAGAAATATCATACAGACGTAAACAATTCGATGAATCAGTTGCGGTCGTCGTGCGCTCCTATAGCAGTTGAGTTGCAGCGTTGCCAAATGTTAGAGAAAATTTAATTATTTACGACTCACTTTCCTGGAAAACGGACACAAGTTATAATGAACTTTTTTGCTTAGAATAATGCAAGGAATCACCTCTTAAAGTTACGAATGTTATTTCCCTAACACCCGGTATATCTTTCAAGATTTTTGGAACGTCAAATCTTTCAGGTCGGCTGACGGTTGATTTTTGTTTCCAGTACGACTAACTATCACCATGCCAAATTTCCACCTGTTGCTCATTCTTCTAAGGCTTCATTAAAATATTCTTTCCGAACATCGAGGTACTGGACTATATACTAAGTAACAGTTGAACAAGTCCAAAGTCTACATGTTCGCGAGAACAATTTTCAGCAAGAAGTTTCCTTGTGGAGGTTAATTCGCATGCATAATCCTAAGTTCATTTAGGACGAACTCGTGAGCCTCATAACTCTTTCCGGCTTGCACCCCGTGACATAGCTTTCCTGTAATACATTTTGTGTATCTGAGCACAGAGGAAGCAGGATTCGCTCGTCACGTCTGTGTTCTGTGTGGATGCTGGGAACGACCATCAGATTGATAACTCTCCATACCCTATTAGTATCTACCTACGCCGACACAGGCGTAAAATATAGAAACAGTGGTTAAAATAATTTCCAGAAATAAGGATTTATTCAGCTAGGAAATAGTGTATTTTTAATTATCGGAATATATTGTTTTTGTATATTTTTTAAGAATGACGTGGTTTGCTTTCGTTTGACTTCCCACGTCTATTGTTATCGCGAAAGTTCCGAGAAAGTAAAAATTCTTTCTTTTGGATGTTACGTGACACACAGGTACGTCACAAAAAACATATCACCGACACGAGTATTGTGTTCTTGAAAGGTGACACTATGTCGATTTTTTTTTGATATAATATTGTTTTTTTGTGACATGTAGGTTTTTCTACAAAATGTTAATTTAGCACTAGCTAAATGGACACGCTGTGAACTCGTTTTGTAGTTGTTGTGTTGCCTAAACGTCATGAGGCTTCTGTTATTAATGTTTGGCTCTGAAGTGACGTAAAATCTGCGTCAGAGATGGCGTTACTGGAGGTAAGGACAATGCATAGGTGCGTAGTTTCCATTGGATTCTTGACTCAAATACACTTACTTGAGATTCAAAGTTAGAAATTAGTTGCACATCTACTTTTTTTTATCCATTCTAGAAATTACATACGCAAATTTGCTGAATTGAAAAAATGAGACAGATAAAAAATAATCATTTTCACTATACTCTGTCGAATTACAAGTCATATACATGCTAACAGTAATTACACACAACGCCGGCGCGATGGTGATTTTCCGTAATTCTCCTCAAAGTTTTTGAAAACACAACAAAACGTTTAAAATCATAATTTATAACTTTGAACATAACCTGTCCCCAGAAAGGACAACACATAAATAACCCGTCGGGCACAGCTAATAGATATATACTTCATTGGCAGCATATTCAGTAATGATTTTCTCACACAGCAAATAACATTGACTTTATACACATGCAGATCAATTCACACACTCATCCAGATGCTATCTTGCTATTCAACCAAATTTCTTCTCAGAGATGAAAACTATAAACTACTTAGCTTCACAAAAAATATGCAACCAACAATGCGTGTAGTTGAGCTATTCCTGCATAGATGGACGCTCACAACAATCTTAGTAGGCAAACGTGGAATGACTGTTTGCACCCTAAAAACTACCTAGTCTGCAAGATGACATTTTATAGTTTTTTTGACGTTTTATGGGTTTTTTACATAATACCCATGTCGTACGACATATTTTATTTTTGCACTGATGAATAGAGTTTTTAATTCTGATTTCAAAAATATATGATACGTCATGCATTGAGATTGCTAAACCTTAGTGTCATTTCAGAAAAGCAGGAGTTCCTAGGTAGGCCTTGAAACTATCAGATTTCGTTTGTTTCTCATATTGAACATAGTAACAGAATATTGGAAGGCTGAGATGAAGGAAAATAAATCACGCAGTAAACAATGTACAGAGAAGAGTCAGACTTTGCATGAAATAGAGGTTTATTCTAAATGGATTGAAATAGTTTTTACAATAAAATGAATAATGAAATACAACCTCCATTTTGCTTACCGCTCTCCAAAGTTGAGGGATGGAAGAGATTTTTCACAACAAAATGAATTTAGGATTTTTTTTGCGTTGATTTCTAATAAGCTCTATTAAAAAGTGACATAACCATTAACTAAAACTAACCATTCAGCTCATTTTAGAAAAAAATCACAGTCCTAAACCTAATGGTTTAGTCGTAATGGCAATTGAAAGTTCATTATCCCGTTTTTTTTTTGAAATTTCACAAAATTGCAAATATTTCCTCAACTGTAAAATTTCGGACCACACATATAGGGTTCATTCGATAAATTTTGAGGCACTCTATCACCTGACTACTGTAGGTCCACTACTAACTTTACACTCTGTATAATGAGTGACTAGACCTATACACTTTACTGATGCAAGCAAGCCTGACTCAATATATGCTTTTTGGAGATAAAAATATTGATATTCTGACGAAATAAACTGTTTGAAAAATACCCTTTAAATGCAAATAGTGAACCTAGAAAAAGTAGATAGTAGTAACTTTCCGCATTTTTGTCAACTAAGATCTCTTATGTACTGCAACTTAATCTTCAGTTACACCTTAGGCGACGTTTCAACGAAGTACCAACATTCTGCAAAAATACCTGTACTTGAAATATATCCACTTCTTACAACATTCCAGGTTATATTTTCTTTTGTGCGAGTTCGATTCTCGTGTGTTATGAAAATAGGGCAGGAGACACTATTATTGTGAAATGATTCTTCAAAAATTTGATAGTGGCGCCCATACAGATAATAC